ATATATATATATAATTATTATTTATTTTTTTTTGGAAACCCTGGATTCTTCGAATAGAATAAAACTGTGTTAATTTTACACACACTTTTTGAATATTGAAAATATATCTTCAATGTCACTTTTGATTAATTTAAAGGGTCCTTTGTGAATAAAAGTATTATTATTAAAAAAAAAAATCAATAGTTGGTTCAGTAGTTGGTCTTTTACCACTTTTGTTTGATAATCAATAGGCCACTGCTCTCTTTTGTGCTTTGATCTCTTTTTTTTTTTCATGCAACATTTACTGTGAATTAAACACAAACTGGATAAACAGAGAAATATGTTGCCCTGGTTCAAGTGTCCTTGGTGGCGATTTGGATATTAGTGAAGCATTTTATGCCCTAATTTCTAATCCGGCTAGTATTCATTATCACAGCGCTCCATGCGGCCACAGAGCACTCTGCCCAGGATAAATGTTGCTGCAGACACAGCTGTTTGAAATAATGCAGTGAACAACTAAACAGTCAATAATCCCAACTGTGGCAAGCCTCAATTTCAAGGTTCTAATAATATCTGTGTCTACTGATATATGACGTATCATACGTTCTGTAATATGTTTACATGCTAATACAGCGTTAAATTAAAGTGTTCAAAAGTCAATGAGACAGTGATATACTAAAGGTCTTGTGATATTATTTAAGCAATTGTTTTTGTCCTCGAGAATGATCTTTATAAATTATGCCTGTGCTTGAAGTATTTTATTGGTCATAACCTATTTATTCTCTGGAATAAATCTTTTTCTTTTTTTCTCAACTCAAACGTTTTTATGCTTTATATATAAAAATCTCCTGTTTGGAAACGTTTATATGTAGAGGAATTATTTGTGCAGCTTGTTTAATCATATAATATTTTCCCTGTTTCCTTTAATCTGCAAATTAAAGCAAATTTGTTAAAACCTCCTTTGAAGTTATCCTAAAAAGTGTGTGATATGTGGGCTTTTATCTTTGTCTGGGTGTTTAAACACAAATGTGGATAGTAAAGGTTCCTTTGAGATTTTCCTTTCATAAAAGAGTATTCAAATATTCTGTAGAAGGTTTAACTCTTCTTTTGGTTTTTGATTCACAAAGTGTTTTATGCATTTGTGTAAAAGGTAAAATCTTTTTAATTGATCAGAATTAAATACAGCATTATCAAATTCTTCCCTGCATATCCTCTAACAAAAAAAAAAAAAGATACAGGTACCAGTTCAAAATACTTCAGCAAACTGACCTTTAAAGCTAGGAACATTTTGGCTTCATGATAATATGAAGTACACTGCTGTCTTGTGCTGTTCTGTTAATACAAGAGAAACAGTGTAATAATCGTAAGTCCAATGTTTAAGATAATGAATAATTTGATGATTTGATAATATAATTAGAATTTCTAGCATTATTTAGTTTACTAGTCAAAGATTATGCCAAAGCTTTGATTGCTTGGAAATTAATATTGTTTTTATTCTGACTTTTAGATTCATGTTTTTATTTTTTTTTATTTTTAGATGTTTTTTATTTTGAACAGCTTTTGCCTGTAGAGAATTAATTACTTGCGCCAACTTACTTTTAAGGGGTTTCATTTAGCCTTCTAAGCACATTTAATAACAAGAGCTCCAGTCTAAGTCTAGCTGAGCAAGACTAAACAAAGGACTGTCACACTTTATTATTTCCTACAGATTTTCTCTGCCCTGATCACAAATATTAGCTCCGCATTACCACTTCAAAACGCAGACTTTTTCGTCTTGAGCGGTGGGGGGTACTGCGTCCATTTCAAGTTCTCCAGGAGTCAGACAATATGAAAATGATTAAAAGACGGAGACACAGTCTGAAAAGGAGTTGTTGGAGGGGGCAAAAAAGATAAAGTCGGGCGAGTGAGCGGGAGTTCATTAACATAGGCACATATATGCCTTTCAGTATGCGACTTAGATGCTCACTTTTCTTTTGCGTCACAGCCGAGATAATGCATTAGAATTGCCGTTAGTACACCTATTAAATGTGTTGCATTGCCATTTCCTTTATCAGCCTTCATCTCTGACCAATCAGCTGGGGTTTTGTTCTAATATGCTTTTGAAGTACAGCATGTCTCAGTAACTACGAACAGCTCTTTAATGACAAGGTTCTTTGAAAGTTTGCCTTTGTGTGTTGTTTATTGGGTGTCATACTGTTTGAAGTGCCATTATTGCAGCTAGGTCACACTCATTGGTAGAGACCAATCCAATTAAAATGCATTGGTTTGACAGCTTTTGTGAAAGAAGTTAGTCTGCTTTTGTATAGGCTTGCTAAGGCTTATTGCATTAAACAATGTTTGTCTATTTTTTTTTTTCACCCAATTATTAATCATCTTAACATCTTTTTGTCTGATTTTGAAAGCTGTATGTTTAGGTATTTTTAGCCCTTTTCTTCATCGAT